AACCACTGAGCTAAATCTCCGGCCCAAAGGTATATATCTTTAATATAGCATTTTAATAGTATACTAGGTTTGATTCCCCTGGAAGCAGAATCTGAGACAAAGAGTAACATCTAGGACATTTATAAGCATACTCTTCAGTGGACACCTAAGTGCAGAAAGGAGGATTTTGCAGAAGGGCTACAAAGCAGTCCCAACCTAGATGCCACCTCTAGAGTTACCCAAAGATGGGCAAGCTGGAGAGGTACTTCTGTGGACGCTATGTGGTCCATAATTTAATGTGGACTTTCCTGCAAGGAAGCAGGTTTCCTTATTTGAAACAGTCCTTAATGGAGTATGTGTACTGATTGCCACAGAATTCTCATCATCTAGGAAAAGAACGCACTTATTCCTTCTATGCAAAGCCAAGGCAGAGACAGACATGGTACTCATTATGCCCCTCTTTGCAATGAAATGCACTTTTTAAACTTTGCCTGCTGTCAGCATTACACTTCATGACTCTTTCCATTCTTTGTGTCCTTGGGCTTTTACCCTGTCTTTTCCTAAGCAATTGATTCTTTAGAATTTATCCCAGGCCATTGACTCTGGCCTTGGTATTCATTTATTTAGGCTTGTGAACTAGACTTTCTCATCACATATTTATTATGGAAAATCCATTTTATAATTCTTCAAGCTCAACTATGAGTCTAGAATAAGTTAAAAATAATGCTTTTGGTGGTTTTACTTGTGATATATGGGAAGATTCTCCATAAGATTTCTGTTAAATGTAGAAATATGATCTAAGGTTTTTAAATGTATTTAAAAAAAATTTAATACCTAATTGGCTACTACTTCTTAATTTCCTTTCCTGGTTTCCCCTCTTCCTTTCAACCTTTGAATGTTGATATTCCCTACAAGTCAATCTTCAGACTCTTTTCTTCTGTATTTGTTTTCTTTTCTTGATTGATCTTATCCAGTACTGTGATGGTGTCTTCAATTAGTATATCAAAAGTAAATCTGTTGCTTTTATTCTAGATTCATTTATCTAGTTTCCTACATAATATTTCTGTCTAGAAGTTTAGAAGACATCTCAAGCAAATATAGAAAGACCAAAACATAAATCTTGATTTCTTGAACTTAGCCCCAGTTGCTTGTCCTCTTTAACACCTCAGTAAACAGTTCAATATACGTAGTTAAATCATAAAAAAAAAAATCTACAATTTACCTCAATTGCTCTCTTTCCATGATCTCCAGCATCCAGTGCATAGACAGGTCCTGTCAATTCTATTCTAAGTATGACCCTTTTCCAAGACTTGCCCTCTGTTGTACTAGTCCATACCACCACCATCTCTAACAGGTACGTTCGTGACAGGTTAACAGAAACCCAAGCAGGTGGGTGAAGAATTCTAAATAGCTTTTCCTTTACTGTGTTCTTTTAAAACATGTTCTGTAGCAGCCAAAGAACTCTTTTCAAAAAAGTAAATTAGATAATCTTACCTCTGGGGTGAGACTTCCAATATTTTTTTATCTTATTTAGAATGAACTACAAAATCTTTATATGATCATCCCCTGTTTATCTCTGAGTATATGTTCTATGACATATCTTGTAATGTGTTCCCTTTGTAACACTTCATCCTAGCTGCACCAGCATTGCTTTTGTTGTGTAGAAAAGAAAGTCCACATTATCTAGAATACTTTACCAGTCTTTTTATTGTCCCACTATAGCTCTTTATTGTGGTCCTAAACAAATGTCATCTCAACACATTATTTAAAGTAACTCTCTTTCACAATTCTCTAATAACATCTATGCTATATAATAAATTTCTGCACATTATAATTTACAAATGTTACATGTTTGTTTATTTTATTTTGTTTATTTGTTTGTTTTGTTTTTTGAGACAGGGTCTCACTATGTAGTTGAGACTGACCTGGAACTCACTATGTAGTCCAAACTGGTTTCGAACTCATAGTGATCCTCCTGCCTCTGCCTCCCGAGTGCTGGGATTACAGATGTGAGCCACCATGCCCAGCTATGTTTGTTTACTTTTATATAGCCTGTTTGCTTAAAGTTATTCCAGATTATATGAGGGTGGGACATTTGTCTCACTGTGTTAATTTTCTTAGCCTATACACGTGTTGGGTGGATGGATAGTTGAATGAGAAGGCAAATGGTTTTCAGATGAAGATACCAAGAACCAGTGGGTTATGAGGAATTAAGTGTATCTCAGAAACACCTAGCTGGATTACAGTGTGAAAGACATGGATACACAAATCATTCATGGGACTGGATGAATCCACCCAGGGATAACAGACTTAGGATAGAACCTGAAAGAAGACCGATATTTACATTACTATATGTGCTCTAAATATAGGACCCATATTTCTTTAGTTTTTTTTCTTGATGTTGTTGCAGTACCTAAGTTAGTTCCTCACAGAATATGTTCCTACATGTGCCTGATGTACTGAACTGTTTAATTATTTTAAAATGTGTAGGAAAAGCCCATCACAAATTATATAAAGTGATAATTGGAGTCTGAAGAAGAGAGCCAAGAAACTATGAGCCAACTGAAAGTAGAAAGGGGCTTTAAA